GTAGGTGTCATATCAATCATGTGTCATGTAGGTGTTACATGCCATATCAATCATGTAGGTCATGTAGGTGTTACATGCCATATCAATCATGTAGGTCATGTAGGTGTTACATGCCATATCAATCATGTTTCAAAAAACAAGGAAAATCCAATAACTGTAATTACACGAGTCGCCGACTCATATATGACTCGATCTCAACAAGCGTATGTTAATGACTGTAATTACATGAGTCAACGACTCATATAAGAGTCGGCGACTCGATCTCGACAAGGCTTTAAAGCGTATGTTAACGACTGTAATTACATGAGTCGGCGACTCGAGTGACTTGCTGCTTGGCTTGGCGCCAATTTTTAATTTATACAACAAACAAATTTAAATTCATTCTTACTGACCGGTTCGTTCAGCAATGGTGGGTTGAAAATATAATTTTAATTTTTGTTAACTAGATTTATTATTTACAGGTTTGATTCTTTTCTGATGCTAAAACAGAGTTTCGTTGATCATGAGAATTGTGAAAGCCTTCTTCAGTGACTACGAGTACATGTTGCAAAATAACAAGTTCTCTTGTCGTAAGAAGATTCTGGAGGTCAAAAGGGAACACAAAGAAATGCTTCTCCAACAAAAAAATGAGCTTCATGCGAGGATCGAACAGATACTGAAGTCTGAACTGTCGTTCTGAGAGAGATTCTTTAACGCCACTTGCAACTTCCACTCCTCATAGAGAAATGGCAAACTCTGGACCCGAAATCGTAGAAGTACCTCCTCCGGGAGCAGGCAAAAACAATGTTATAAGAGCGGCAGGAAACCCTCTTTGCCCCAAATATAAGGGTACCAGTAGTTTCAAAGAATTTATCAGAAAATTCGCTCTTTTCGCTAATTCTGCCGGTCTTGTCATCGCCGAACGTCTTGCTATTTTACCACTCTTGCTCGAAGCACCTGAAGCAGAAACAGCTTATTTCGATATTCCCGAAACAATAAGAAAGCAAGGTCCTTGGAACGTTTTGATTGAACAACTCCAAGATAGACTTCTAACAGA